GGGGGTTTGGCTGGGTGACCCCCAGAGGTCCCTTCCAGCCCAAACCTTCTGTGATTCTGTGAAAACTGGGCAAACAGAAAAGGGCTGGTTTTAAACGAGAACTGTTCCAAGGCGTGAATCGCCACCCGGCCCTGCTCTTGCTCGGGGAGGGGAAGGGCCAGCTGTGTATCGCCAGATCCCTTCTTCCAAGCGCAACAGCCTGCACGTTGTCAGCAAAGCGCAGGCACAAAAGCCTTCGCAGGGCCCGGCGCCGACAGAAACACGGCCTGAGAGCAGTGTAACCTCCCCCCCTTAATGGTCACTAACAGGGTAAGGCCCTGGGGTCAAGACAGCTTCAAACAAGAGCAGTTCATGACGAAATCATTGAAAAAGGCAGAAAGCAAACAGAAAAGCTACAGATGTTCAATGGTGTAAACAGAGAGATGGGAAGGGAGCAGGATTTGCCTTGAATTTCTCTGAAGACACCAGACTTTTGCCAGTTCAGCACAAGTTGACGGGGAGCCTGGCAGGGAGCTTGGTAAAGGCAAAGACTCTCTGACTGACGAGTCAAACACGCTGTCCGCAAACACGGACACAGCGCCCGTGTCCCAACGGCCAAACGGGCAGCAGCTCTGTCACTCCATTAACACTGTCTCCAACACTGCTCTGAAAACATCTGTTAGCTCCAGTACGTCCCAAACGCACTCAGAGGCGAGAAAGCATCAGTACCTTGGTCTTCAGATCGTAGCGTTCCTCCTTGTGCGTGCCACTGTCCACCACGTGGACAATGTCGTTGATGGTGATGGAGGTCTCGGCGATGTTGGTGGCCAGGACGATCTTCCTGACGCCCGGCGGAGGCCGCTGGAAGATGTTTTGCTGGTCCATCATGGGGATGTTGGAGTGCACTAGGAGATAAGACCAGACTCGGTCCTGCCCTGCTTTGCAGCGCAAGGCCAAGGTGGGCAGAGATCCTCAGCCTTCTTCTACCACCACCTCCCGGTTCCCGAAACGGGGGACAGGGATGGGGACACCACTTGTAAATGTTCATTCTCAGCGGTTTCCTGCCAGGCAGACCCCAGGACAAATCTTCCACACATCATGTGGGAAGGCCACATTACGGTTGCTCCAACCGATGGCTCAAGAGCAGCAGGAGCTCCGATCCCCTCCCATCCCACAGAGGCTCGTGGTACCACCAGAATATCCCCGGGCCCGAAGCAGAAGCCCCACTCCCTCCCAGAATCCTGTTCTGCAGCTCCCACTTTCCAAAAGGTCTGTGGGGCATCCTCACTGTCACTTGGTTTCACTTGGTCAAAAATCGTTATCAGCACGGGCCTGTAACTCTTCTATATCACGTTTTTGCCCTATTACAGACCAGTGATGTGCAGAAATTCCCAGCAACCGCACACAGCAGCGGGGGAGAACGTGCAGTTTTCACAAAAGAACACCTGCATTTATTAGCAACTGAGCTGCCCAAAGCTGCGCTCCTGGCTGGCGGCCTTATTTGACATTGAATAAGGAAGAATTAAAAAAAAAAAACAAACAACCAACCCACAAAATCTTACAGCCTTGCAGAGTAATACTGGCTTTTGTTATAGATTTCCATCCTGGGATAGAGACCTTTAAATTCACTGATCAAAGCTGAGCTAGGGAGTACACCTCCATCCCAAAAAACAGGTCTTGAAGATCTTCTCTAGGCAGGCTCAGCATGCAGCTACAGCAATGTACAATTTAGCAGTTTCCTCCTTGTCCAATTCTGAATTGCTGGAGGCAAACAGGAAGGTAGTTTCTCTGATCACAAGCAGGTTGGGATGGCCTCTGCTAGGAGAAGTTACTCGTGTTTAACATGCACAATTACACCACAGATACGTACACCAGAGCATACAAGCTCGCTCTGTATCAGCTGCAGGGGCTCATCAAGACAACTGGCCTATCCATCCTCCCGAATCCCGGGGAGGAAAAGGTCTGGCGCTGCCATCTCACCTGGTAAGACGAGGTACCGGCTGTTCTGAGAGCCCAGCATCTCTAGCAGGCGCTGCTGCACTCCTTTGATTTCCTGCCAACCAGGGAGGAAGCAGAGGATCCCACCTGAAACACAGCAAGCGTTCAGAACGAGCGACCTAGAAATCCAAGCATCTTTCCCCAGCTGGAGACACAGAAACTGTTTTCACCACACAGAAGGGACAGCCATTATTTCCCCGAGACCACAGCAATCTTTCGCCCAAGAAACCGAAAGAGAAGCAGGGCCCTGGTCTGTGTTGCCCCCTGCCAGCTGATCTCTAAGGAAAGCTGCACCGTACTTACTGTGAACAAATGACAGATGCAGCCGTTCTGGGAAGTCATACCCAGGGGAACGTTCGTCTAGACTTCATACCTGCTATGCTGTATCTGCTTCTGTGAGCTCGTTAGGGCAAGGTTTTAAAGCCAGAAAGAAACCAGGCTACCTGCAGTTTTGAGAGTGAATGCCTTCTGCTAGCTCTGAAACACTTAAAACTCTTAGAAGTCATCCGAGTCCTGCCTTCTCCACCAAAACACCACCTCCCAGACAAAGATATTTGACAGGGATGGGTCTCCAATACCGAAAAATAACTCAGCTGTACAGCACAAGGCTGCCAGCGCTGGAGCACAGACGAGTCTTGCCCTTTGCCCCAGGACACTGAAACACTGACGACTCGGATGCTGCCTTAGCCAAAGACTCAGAAGTAGCTCATGCCACACTGCTCGCGACCACTCCATTCAACAGGAGTTCAAGATGGTCTTGCAGAAGTCAGCTCAGCACCATGTTTTCTCTGCAAAGGGTCTGGACTCTGCATGGTTCATGATTTTCCCCCCCCCTAGCAGAAGTGGAGAGCAAGGGGGCAAGGCAGAACCTACCTGGTTCTCCATGGGCATCAATCTGGAGTACGAGGTCGGTAATCAGATCAAGATCGAGGACGCATTCATCATCCGATTGCTGGATGAAAACAGGAGGACAGACGCAGATAAATGAGAGGCAATCTAGCAGCGAGCAGAAAAGCACGCAGCCTCTCAGAGCATCTTCTGGAAAGAGCAAATGCCTGTACTTGGACAGCCTGCCCGGGAGCAGGAGCCAGGAACCTCAGGAGCCGGGTTTTGGCTCCATCTGGAACCTGGTCTGGTCACAACTGCTGCCGGTTTCCTCTGCTGTGCAGTGCGACCATACAGGCCCTTTCCCGTTCTCCAGACTTGGAAGCTAATGGGAATTTGTGTACCTCTACTGAACAGCACCTAACAAGTAACAAAATTAACACAAAATTTCTGGAGAAAAAACTGTGCCATATGCACCTGGGACTTCAAATCCACCAGGCACAGAGCAGCAGCTTTTGTATCCCTCAGTAGTCTGGAACACGTTTATGTGGCCAGTGTAAAAAGCACAGGTAAAAAAAAACCAGCCAGCCACAACAGCAATGGGAAGATTGCCCCAAAGGCAATGGGACAGCCTCCTCCTCGAGTCTGCCGATGGCACAAAACTGGGATGAGTGGCTGGGGCACCAGATAGCTGCTCAGCCACAGGGAGGGACCTCCACAGGCTGGAGGAATGGCCTGACAGCTTCCAGTTCAGCAGGCTGGACTAGAAAATGTCTAGAGGTCCCGGCCGAGCTCAACGATTCTGCGACTCCGTGACCCACAGCTGAAGTAAGATTACCCACAGCAAAGAGCACATGCCTGGAGGGCATTTTCCAGAGGAACAGGAAGACCAGCTGCAAAAAGCAGCAATCGGGGACGGTGAGCACTTCGGTAACAGGCTGCCGTGAGCCATAACCATCCCTCCCTCGGACCAGGCCTGCAGAGCATGCAAACATTCACGTCTGCATCTGCATACACGAGTACAACGAGCTGTTGGCTTACTCAAACATACGCAAACTTCCCATTAAAGAGGGAAAAAAGTAACTTAGACCCAAACCTGAAGTCATCTTTATCCCTTATTTAATCAAAATACTCCGGGATTCTACTAAGCTGACTTAAACCTCACAAGGGTTGACGTGGAATCAAAGCTAAGCACACACTGTCCAGTAACCACTGGCACAGGCTGCCCAGAGAGGTGGGAGATGCCCCATCACTGGAAACATTCAAGGCCAGGCTGGACGGGGCTCGAAGCAACCTGGTCTGGCTGAAGATGTCCCTGCTCACTGCAGGGAGGTTGGGCTAGATGGTCTTTAAAGGTCCTTCCAACCCAAACCATTCTGTGGTTCTGTGAAAGAGGGACCAGTTCCAGGCCCCCCAGCCTCTCCAGAAGTCAGTGCCTCATCCAAGAGGAACAGCTCAACCACCACGCTGCACACCCACCTTGATCTCGTAGTGCCGGTGTCGGTGCCGGCCCAGCTTGGCCAAGATCTCCTCCAGATAGTACTCCTTCACGGGGTACATGAAACCCGGCACCTTGACCACAGGGCAATCCCCAAAGTAATGCGAGAAACGCTGATTGTCTCCTGTGGCGCTCATCAAGACCAGGCGCAGGTCAGGGTTGAGCTTCTGGATG